TAGTATCATCCAATCGCACTCTGTCACACTTACACAAGCTTATCGCTTCCCATACACAACACATGCCAGTGCAGAGGACTTGAGCATTATGAAAGAATTAATTTAACATGCTTTAATAGAACTGGTGGAATAGGACAGAAGATTTTGATGACTCAAGTTCTGTGCCACTCAGCAGAACTGTTTTTAGATGCAGCATCTATTGTGATGCAACTCATCTATCTGGCCCGTGGCCAATGTTTAATATAATAGCAAACACCTCATGATAATGGATTATATCAGTATGACCAGTCAGCTAGAAGTGAAAAGTTCACTGCAGTGTGAGAAGCGCTCTTACAGATCTGCCAGTGTAAAATCAACATGATAAAAGGCTGAAAGAATCATGCACACTACACCACTACTGTTGGTTTTATCACTTTTTTTGTGGCATTGTACTTGGTTGTCCCACCCACAGTAAAATCTCATTGGTCTAAAATCCTGCTCCATAGAATTCTATGTATGTTCTGATTGCCTGTTATTGTGCCAGATCGTACAGCGTTTACACTTTTGATTTCAGACAAATTACTTTCAACACACATGTCAATTCATACCTCTTTTATGCTTTGGCAATTGGTGGCTAATTTCTATGAATACAAATGATCTAATTTGTAGATTTTTGATCTGCTTACACCTCACTGACAGTTTTTATGCTTTTCAATTTCAGACCGATTTCTTCCAACACAATCACAATGGCAATTCCATTTTTTTAATTCTTTACTTTAACATAACAAAACAATTGAGCAATGACCACAGATCATATGCAACAAAAACATATAGCTAGGCCTATGTGTAATTTAGGTTCATGTTGACCTGCCAATGTTTTGCAAAAAGGTACATGAAATCCTGGGACCTATATACTTAAAAAGGTGTCAATGTCTGACAAAACATCCATTTTTACTTTTGATCAGTGAAAAAAATGATTCATTGAATTTACTAAATTTTTTAAAGGTAAGTGGTTGCAATCAATTTATTTTAGCTACATTTAAATAAACAAATTTAGTTGACTAACTTTCAAAAAATTTTTTTAAATGTAGCTAAAATAAATAGTTTGCAACCACTTACCTTAAAAAATGTAGTATCATTTTTTTCAGTGTAGGTAATTTATTCCAGTGAAAGAAAATCAATTATCACTTTAGGCCACTATGACAGTGTCGCTGATTTATCAACTACTTTACGTTTTGGCAAATGGTGGCCAATTTCTGTGAATTTCTATGACGTTTAGGTTTAGGTTGAGGTTGAGGTTATGCTTTTTTTTCTAAAGATCATACATTTTTCTATGAATTCCATCGTACAAATTCATATGAAATTCTTTTCCTCCAGTGTTTCTGATGAGATGCTTTAAAGCAACAGACAGTAATGAAAAAGATACTTGGTAAAAGAGAGAAATGTTTATAAGGCCTGGTAATTGGTAAGAATAATAGATGGATAACATGGGATGGTGAAAAAGGGAAAAAAGACAAGAGAAGGAGAAAGAGCAGATGAGGGATGAAAACAATCAGTCAAAAGAAAAGAAAAGAGGAAGTCGACCAGTGATGAGGGTGAAAAGGGGTAGGGGGAAAACTGGAAATGAACGCCTTTTGATCGAAAACCTCTGCCTGACAAGGGGCAGTTGCCATGGCAACACCGAGCTGCCAAAGATATGTGTTGATGGATGACAGTTTGAGCCAGAAGCATTAGACAGATTCTATGCCTGGAAGAACAGAAAGAGAGAGAGAGAGAGTAGAGGCATCATGCTCCTCTGCTCCTCTATTAGTGTTGACAATGACATGATGCTTGTCATACTGTGCATCACAACACACCCACACACACAGTTCCTCTCTCTCAAACTGCCATGGTGCCCCAGGGAAGGTGAGGTGAATGCTGAGGCTGGCTGTCGGGGTTGAAATTAGACTCATGTGACATTTAAGTGCATTCAGAGTGTGTGAAGCTTTTTTGTTTACATCTTGTTTAACTGTGCGTAAATGCTGCAAATAACATTCTTCCCAGTGAAAAATGTCTCTCCCTGTCTGATAGCTCCTGAATCCTGTATCATTAGTCAGACCGGGAACACTTTTCTCAAATAATTAAAAAGCGCAGCCAGACCTGTCATTACACAGGAAGAACAGAAAGAGAGAGAGAGAGTAGAGGCATCATGCTCCTCTGCTCCTCTATTAGTGTTGACAATGACATGATGCTTGTCATACTGTGCATCACAACACACCCACACACACAGTTCCTCTCTCTCAAACTGCCATGGTGCCCCAGGGAAGGTGAGGTGAATGCTGAGGCTGGCTGTCGGGGTTGAAATTAGACTCATGTGACATTTAAGTGCATTCAGAGTGTGTGAAGCTTTTTTGTTTACATCTTGTTTAACTGTGCGTAAATGCTGCAAATAACATTCTTCCCAGTGAAAAATGTCTCTCCCTGTCTGATAGCTCCTGAATCCTGTATCATTAGTCAGACCGGGAACACTTTTCTCAAATAATTAAAAAGCGCAGCCAGACCTGTCATTACACAGATATGAAAATAGGAGATTGGTAGGGGGAAGTGTGTGAGAGAATGATTGAACTACAACAATATGTTAGTCAGTTAGTAAGAAGGGTTCAGGAGAGACTGAGAAAGACAAAGTGAATGAGAAAAAAAATGTAAGAGCGACATAAAAATCAACACTCCTTCCACAATCTTTCTTTATAAGGCTCTATATAACTCTGTGTTAAATCCATTTCACAGCAACGTTTCACATTTCTAATTCTGAAAGAGGGTCGCTCTAGGGCTAATCTGTCCCAAAAATGATTGATTCTGTGATTGTTTGGGAGGCTTAATCAGAGGGATAATTTATCTTCGGTGACCTCGAATACAAACTACTATCAAAAGATTCAGCTGTGAATGGCGATTTTTGATTCATCCCAATGAATCGAATCTTTTGATTCTGTCCAGCAAAAATAATTGTTCAGATTATACCATATTATACCAGTAGGATATCAGTCCTATTGAATATTTTGATAGAATCTTTGGATCATCTGATTCGTAATTACTTGGCTTGACATTGAGAGCCCCATTAAGGCAATTACAGTTTATTAATTCCTGAACACTCTAAGATAAGATACTGTAGCCTAGGCCGTGTAAACTGTAGCCTACAGTATATACATTTTTATTTTTTCACACTGGGTTGAGAACGAGAAAGTCAACCAATCATAAACTGCCTTAAGTCCTGACCTTATTAATATTCATATACTTTGTATCTTCGACGCGGTTTGTTTTAGCGTCCGAGATCTTTGTGAAACAGTGACTACGAACTTCAGTGGTGAAGATAGACAGCATTATTTTTGGACAACACTTAAGATTCAAGACGGATTTACGTAGCGATATTTCCAATGATAGACGTACAGGTATTGAAACACTTCGCGTGCTCCTTGCGCGTTGTACTTCTCCGAGCAGTGTTATTAATCTGATAAATATACAAACAAGGACGTTGACAAATGTACATTGTGTAGCCTAATGTCAAAACCTGACGGTTGCGCCTGAACCTGAAGATAAATTACTTAGGTGTGAACCATGGAGCAAGATACATTTTAACGTTTAAAATGACATTTGCTAAATTTCAAAGGTGAAAAGCCCACATGACAACTACTGTACAACGACAACATCCAGAGTCAAGGAATTCCATCACCTCATTATGTCCACTGTTTTAACGGAAGTATTGTGTGCTTCATTCAAAATCATCTCAACTCAAGGTGTGAAAACGTGTGCGTGTGTTCATAATAACCAGAGTGCATGTGTGACCGTGGGGTGTGTGTGTTTGCCATGAAATTTTTTTTTTTTTGCCTCAGGGGATCCCAGACTGCTCTTCCAGTAAACATTGTTTCCATAGTGATAATGGAGAAGAGAGGAAGGATGCAAAACGTGACAGCAAGAGTAATAAGAGCGAATGAGTGAGAGAGAGAAAGTGTGTGTGTGTGTGTGAGAGAGAATCCAAAGAAATAAGCTGCATGCCAGATATAATAACATCACAAGGAGATAAAGGGAACATTGTGAGCTTGAGATCATTCCTTTATTCTTAACACATTTCACAAAAACACACACACATTCAAACCCAAACAATGTTTAAGATTTTATTTCATTTCCTACCAGCATTGTTGCCTGTATAAGTTGTGCTCATGTATGAGGTTCTCCCATTATGTGTTTTTAGAAATAAAATAAATGCAGAGAAAACACAAACAATATAAAAAAAGTGCATGAAAAACACTTTCATAGTGAATGAAGATTCCCTCTTTCGTACGAAATACTTGGATCACTTGGATCAGTGGACCTCAAAACAACAGATTAATATGGACACTGAGGTAACTGTATCCGTGATCTCTGTCAGCTGGTGTCAAATATGATGTTTTTTCTCCTGAATATGTAAATTAATAAAATATTAAGGGTCTAAATGGAATAGAATTGTATTGAACATTATGGCCACCTTCAGGGCCTCATGCAGTCTGGCTAAAATCCACTGCATGTAAACGTGATGATCGTCAAGGACAGCAACCCAGGTCATGCATTTCACAAGTGCCTATGATATTAACAAAATTACATTTTGAACATTTTTTTATAATTATAATTTTTTTCTTTACAAATTCTGAATGAGTGTGAATCTTTTTTCACATGGTGCCCATCACTATGAAAGGCCATTTCTGCTATGGAATAAATACAATTGCAGAATTGCAAGATATAAACAGAATTGTGAGATATAAACTTGTAATTCTTAGAAAAAAAAGTCAGAACTGCAGGATATAAACTCAGAATTCGTACTTTCTCACAATTCGGAGTTTTTATCTCACAATTCTGACTTTTTTAAATTAGAATTCCGAATTTATATATATATATATATATATATTCTTTTTTTTCTGCCATGAAATAAAAAATAAAAAAGATAATTGTGACTTTATATTTTACAATTCTGCTTTATTAATCACAATTATGAGTTTATACCTTGCAGTTCCCTTTTTCTTCTCAGAATTGTGAGTTTATGGAAACACGCTTCCATACTACTTTGTTGATTGGTTCAGTCACAAATATCCACGAACACATCAAACAGATTAAACAAGAACATTTAAGGCACAGTATGGTAGTTTTCGCAAGAGACGAGCAATATGTGAATTCGCTGTCCCTTTTGATTTGTGGTGTTGCGTAAAGATGTACAAAAAGCGCCTTAAAATTCAAAAACGTTATATTCTGGTTCGTATAATGGATCTATAAGGCTGCTGGAAACCAGTTTCTTCCTTTGTTTCCACAGCAAGTGTTCTGTTGTTATTTTCCCCTCACGTGTGCCCTGGCGAGAGCCCCATGGTGTCCAGAACCTATAGCGTCTGAAAGCCACTGCTGTGAAACCTCCCCTCCTCTAACCCTCTCCTTCCCCTTTTCTCTCTCTTTCTCCAGGGTCTTGTCTTCCCTGTGGCTCTGCGGCTGCAGACCATCCCACGTCCTGTTCTGCTCTCTGGTTTCAGCTTGACACAGAGCCAACATAGGACACACAGAGTCCTCTTCTTCATCACTGTCCTCCTCCTCATCCTCCTCCAGCAGCTGTGGAAATCTTACTGAAGTCGATGATGAAGAAGAAGGGTGAGAGTTGGAGTATACGTCCCGTTCGTACACAGACAGAGGGAGCTGGAGGTAACGGCCGGCTGCGTATAAACAGCAGCAGGCTGGGACACACTCTGGACCTTCCCGCCTCAGCAGACGCAGGCGTTTGCGGTATGGCCCGGGAGGCGTAATGCAGGGCTGCAGGGCAGGAGAGGGAAGAGTATTTGTGGCAGGGGTTTGGAGGGGACAAGGTGTTGCTGTGGGACCTGATGGGAAGCACCAGTCACTCTGGAGGAGGATTTCGTTTCTGAGATGACGGAGAAGGTTGTTGATGAGCACTGAGCGTCGTAAGAAGGACTCGGGGTCATCCATGAAACGCAGCTTCTCGAGAGAGAGACGGAGAATGTGTGCACGCTCCTCCAAGACCGGTGACACCTGCTGGCCCGGAAGACAAAATGAGCATTCATAAACGAGGTCAGGTCAGTTATCAAGTTAACCTGTATGATTCATAATGTGTTGTGAGGAACAAATCAAGGTGCAAGATGTTGGTGAATGCTTTGTTTTGTTCGCAGAGGTATGTAGTGTAATAAAGTGATAAACAGTAAAGTATAGGGAAACAAAAACTATTAAACGATAAAAACTAGCAGTGAAGAAATATTTCAGTTTAATAAAATAGGAATAGAAATAAAAACTGAATTGAAACCAAAAAAATTAAAATCTGAAATCTGCATAAATGTGCACTATAACAGAACAGAAATTTAATTAAAATTACTAATAAAATGACTACAGCTTTTGTATTTTCATATGAATTTATAACAGCTGAAATGTGAGTTGAATTGAAGTCAAACTAAATTTTCAAGTAAAAAAAAAAAGTGCAATGAAAATATATGAAAAAATGACAAATGAGGTACAGTCAAGATTGCTCAGTGAATTTTAGTCCAAAATTAAATCCAGTAATTTCAATAAGAATGCTTTATTATGAATCCAGTCTTGAATTTCATGTGAAGCTGTAAGATTTCTGCATACATATTCACAAAAATTCATCACATTAATCTACATTTTTTTAAAGTGACTTCTACATGACTATGGATCTTTTTGCCCATGAAATATCACTAATGTGTCCTCACCTTTACAACGATAAAAAATGTGTCAAAATGTACACATTTTAAAAACCCTGGTGTTTACAGTTTCTTTAGTGGTAATGCCAGTTTATGCAAAAATTGTTACAACTCATACAATTTTATGAATTACTGAAAGTATTATAAATAATATAAAGTGTTGTGTAGAAATATGTAGAATTAAGTAAGGCTAGCAGACTTACAGTGTGACAGTAACTCCTGAAGCTCAGTACAGGTTCTTCATCCTCCACAAACTTCCTTTTGAAATAAGAGATCCGTGATAGGGCCACACGATCCATCACATGATCAGGAGCTCGTCTGTAATTGGGCTCTGGAGACAAAATGGGAAGGTTCAGACAGAGTTTCATTAATAGGCTATGTCTTCTAGATCAAAGACTGGTATGGAGAGAATTTCTGGCCTGTTTTAGCTCCAAAACTGGATAACAGATTTTGAAACGTCTACTTTGGAATGGAGCATCATCAGCACCATCTGTTCATGGTAGTCTGTTTTTCAGAGATGAGATTAGTTTCAGACCTTCAATGAGCCCTTGGGTGTCACCCCCTGGTGGTGAGGGGGTGGAGATACAGCTTTTACTGCAATGCTCAGAATCCCAGATCGGTTGGTAGATTGACGGCGGGGCTTCGGATTCAGGCTCACAAAAGGGGTTCATTGATAGGACCAAAGCCATAGTTTCACCTCAGTCCTAAACAACAAACACACAAACATAATTATTTAAAAAAATGCCCAATGAAATTTTCATTTTATTTCACCCCTGTATGACTTTATGTCTTGCTTCTATGGAATACAGAAGACGTTTTTTCTGTAAAGTAAAAGTCAGTGGGTTCCAGGGTTGTTTTGTACCCCATTTTGTATACTTTGTATACAGGACCGTCGCAAGGGAGGTGCGAGGCCCTCTGCAATTTTTGTGTTTGTGTGTGTGTGTGTGGTGGGGGAGGGGGGGTTGCTATATTGAATTTAAAATAAAAATCCACATTCACATGCAAAAACTTTGCATTCGAATTTTAGGTGTGCATCAGGCAGTATTATCAGTGGTGCACGAAATGCGACGATGATGTAAGTGTCATTCCAGTTGAACCCACTAGATGCGGCGCTGCTACGTTGTTCATTCAAAATATTGCAGAAAAAGAGAACAATCAATTCGGGGAAAATCTTGTTTACGTCAAAACAGAAACCAAGCTGTTCACACAGAACGCATATTTATCGCATTTTCTAGAGGGACATCTATCACCGTTGCACTCACGTCTCGCACAAGAGAGCGGCATGTTTAGAAAGCTATGTAAAATTAATGTAAGTTCAACTTTTAAAAAACATGTCTTAAGACTTTATGGCAGTTTTCCCCATCCCACTGCATCTCATGTTTTTAAATGAAAAAAGTATTCTTTGTGATTGGTTTTCGGTCCTTTGTATTAAACTATACATACATGCACGATGCAGTTTTGTTTCTAATTGTTTAAGCAACTTTATTAATTATATAAGGTTTATATACATTATTTTAAACATTATGCACTTTTATCAAAGATAGTCGTGTTATTTTATTTTGCTTTGAAGAAACGTGCATAAAATTTAGCTTGATGCGCCCTCTTGTGGCCTCAGGAGAGAAGCCAAAAGCTTTTTTCCCCCTAACTGAAATTATGCCTTTTAAATTCGAATATAATTTGAATATCGATAATATTTAAGTAAAAAATTCGAATTTAGTTTTTCAGCCATTTTGACTGCCCTAGTATACATACAGTATATATTACAAATGACAGACATAAATGTTCCAAAAAATCATACAGGTTTGGAACCACATACAGATGAATAAACTTTTTTGATGAAATATCCCTCTAAACACAGGTTTTCAATTGACACTGGATAAATTATATTTTCTGCACTACTGTATTCACTGTGTGTGTGTGTGTTCATAAAATCATATCTTAAAATGTTTTTGATATTGAGTTATTTTTTAACATTAGGCATGTTTCTAGTAAAGTTTAATTTTAGGAAAGTTTTTGCAAACAACTCATAATTACAATCTTTCAATAGCAGCCTCTTTGCAAAGCTTGTATTACATTTGTGACAGCTTTACAAAACGATCTGTGCTGAAATGTGCACTCGTACTGTTAAGATCTAATTGAAATGATCAGAGACTTAAGAATAAACAGCCACTAGTTTCTAATGTTGAGATTCTTGCATTGTTGTAATCAATAGGGGTTTTTTTCTCGCTGGGGAGCAAATTTTGCATTCTAAAAGTTACAGTATGTTTTAATATTACAATGAACTCTTTTTATCTTAAAAGATCAAGGAAAATTTGAATCCTCATTACAACCCCTTTAAAGAAAGCAACCTCTCAACAACCCTGTGCTACTCTACAATAACTTGTAGAGTTATTTTCTCTATCTTTGAAGATTACACTAACAAGGCATTTGAAAAACACTTTGAGACTCTTTAAAACAGCTAAAAAGCCAAAATCACACACTATGAAACACTCAGATAACGAGATAGAGAGAGAAAAACATTCAGTAGAAGCTGAAAGGGAAGGTATCTGTTTGTGTGATCTCTCTTTAATCATTTTGTTCTCTGTTCTACCACACACGCAGTGACAGGAGAGAGAGGAAAAGTTCTGGATGACTGCCTCTACAAAGGTCATTAATCTTCGCTGACAATTTCACACAGACACACTATTACTCTCATGTAGTGGCTTCAGTTGGCACACATTGAACTGCCGTTATGCCAGGCTGTTCTGAGTCACCAGACACAATTCTCACATGACAAACAATGTTTATTTGTAACTATTTGGACTGCCAATAACTGTCGATTAAAACATTTTATTCAGTTAAGTAAATTATATATTATCAGAATAGCCGCTAAATTAAGATAATTCATTATATTATTGTGGCAGACCAAAGCATTGAGGTGACAAAAAGTGGCAGTTTTATTTCTATGTCATGATCACCATTGGCAGTCAGTCTGACTGAGGTAGATTTTTTTTAAATGAAAAAAGTAAAAAAAAAAAAATGTTTAAATGTCCTGTGTGAAAAGCTCTTTATTATCAAATTAATATACAGGTTAATGGACATGACTAATTGTGTTGATGTTATTGCATTAATTTTTTTAAAATTAATTGCACTAAATTAACAAATAAAATGAATCGTATAAATAAATGAGAAGTAAAAATAAAATGATAAAAATATCACACATACTTTTTTTGCATGCACACAGACACAAAAATTGTTCCTCTTGCAGTAAACTTAATTCAGCTGTAATAACTTGTCCTGTTTTTAGTCTGTGTCCGCAGGGTTTGGATCACACTGAGATCATGTGAGCGAGACGTGTTTAATCAGAGCAGATCCCACTCTCCTCCTCTCCCTCGTACTGTCGTTACCTGTTTCTCATTCCGCCCACAACTCTGCTTTGAATTTACGCTTTAGAAGACAGAGCTGACACAGAAGCAGTGCTCTCTCTCTCTCTCACACACACACACACAGACACACATACATACACATAAGCTGTCTGTCTGTCTTTGTCTCTTTGCTCGTTTTGTGCACTCTCTCTCTCTCTTCATCTTTTCCACTTTCCTTTTCATGTGAAGAAAACATAAAAAGGTGCTGGATCCGTTGGATTTGCACCTCATCAGTCACACACGCACACATACACAAATATTGCAGGGTACAGACGGGAATGTGTACTAGAATTGTGAAGCTCAGTAGATGCTAAAACTGCAAATTATAAAACACAGTTGATGCTAAAACCAGACAGAGAGAGTGAAAGAATGAAAAAATGAGCGATCCAACCTAAGGAATCATTTAAGGCATAAGCTTTGAGTTGTGCAGTTGTGGTTTTTCCTATGCGAAAACCACAATTACAGGTTTCCATTGAGGTAATGTAGTTTTTGGCTTAACTCACTAAAACCAAAACATCCAAAGCTCATGATGCTCTTTACTGGGTCATAAAAGCTGTTAAAGCTCACTCACACGTTTATCTTAATGGGGATATATATATGCTGAATTTTTGCTGTATTCTATTTTAGAAATAGAATAACTGCATTTATATAAAATGTTACTCATGATTTATTAAATAATTTACAAATTATTTAGCCACATCTCCTTATGCCCTCAAAGGCAGGTTTTGTCAGTTTAGATAACTTTTTAAGAACATGCACTTCTCATGTATAGCTTATTAAAGACAATAGTTTTATTGAGTGGTTAGTCTTCCAGGAAATATAATGCTTTGAAATTATTTAAACAATTTTCAAAATGCTTTGTCAGTAGAAATTAAGCCAGAAAGAGAGGCAGAGCAGACAGAAAGAAAACAAAACACTGCACAATTAGTCAGGTTATGAGAATAGCTTTAGGCATCAGCTCATATCCTGCTCTGCTCTTTGGAACAGCAGGCTGACAGATCATTCTAAAACCCCAGTGAACGTCGACCACAATGGCACATGCACAGAGCTAATGCCACAGTCTGACCACACGGCCTGACCCAGAAACAGTTCTATGAAATAGGAGAAACAGGAGTAACTAATATAAACACATGTTCAAAGATGTCAGTTATGACAAAATATGGAGGTGAAACTGTAAAACTATATCTCACTGCTATTTATTACTTTCTAGTGGGAGATCTAGTGTATTAAACATAAAAAATTCTGTCAATATGATTACTAATTATTTTTTTTAAATGATCATACAAATTAATAAAAATTATTATTATTTTTTTTTAATTTACACATACCCATGACTTTTCTTCTGTGGAACACAAAAGGTGACAATTCTGAATATTGAATAGGCATGACAAAGAAGCAGCATAAAAGTATCATATAAGTGGTCCATGCGACTTGTGCACTATACTACAAGTCTTCTGAAGCCATATGTTTACTTCTGATGCCATGTTGTTTACAAGTCTTGTAAACAAACAAACCAAGTTGTTGTTCACTAAAAAATCCTGGCTTCCGCTTGTAGGTCTCAAATCTTATATGTGTCTGCATTCAGTTATATATTGTGCCTTTAGACAAACTGCATCATGTTTGAAATCAGTGAAATCAAACGTCATTGGCTGTCTCATGATTACACACAATGCCACATCAGTGCTGAAGGAATGTTCTGGCTACTCATGCATCCCTGCTGTTAAGAGTCAGAGCCTGAAGCTGTGTGTGTGTGTGTGCGTGTGTTTGAGACAGAGGGAGGACAGCACATGCTCTTTGTATACTCAAAGGGGCAGGGTAATCACATCATCCCTGCTATCGTTTAAATGAGTGTGATATTTACATCAAGGTGGGCTCTGATTTATGATGTGATGGCTGTGATTTATTTGTGTTCAGACAGCAACACTGTCTACTGAAAGAAAGTCTATTTATATAAAGTTTCTAAATTTTTTGTCTTATGAACTCAAAACTAAAAATCGATTAATTAACATTGTTTAATAATATTAAAGTTACTTTAGTATATGTATATTAAATTATCTATTCTTTTTTCCCCATTATCTATTCTTTTTATGTTTAATAAAGCCAAATCAAAAATATTTTCAAGTACTAAAAAAAATGAGAATTATGAAGTGTGTTTACATGCATTTTAAAAGTTCTATTTCAGTCAGGCTATAGTAATATATCTTGTTAAAATGTCATGTAAATGCTCTTTTAATGTGTTTTTAAAAAATTACTTATGCTCACCAAGGCGTATTTATTTGATCCAAAAATACAGTATAAACAGTAATATTGTGAAAGCTATTACATTTAAAAATAAATTCTGTTTTATTGTTTATTAAATTGTTTACTATTTGAATGTTGAAAACAGGTGTACTTAATAGTTTTCATGGAAATCATGATACGTCTTTTCAGAATTATTTAATGAATAGAAAGTTCAGAAGAACAGAATTTATTTGCTAATCTTTTGTAACATTATAAATTATTTTGTCACTTTTGACCAATTTAATATGTCCTTGCCAAATAATAGTATTGATTTCTTAAAGGTGATTTATTATGTCCCTTTTTACAATATGTAATATAATTCTATTGGGGTCCCCAGAATGTAACTGTGAAGTTTCAGCTCAAAATACCCCACAGATAATTTATTATATCATTTTGAAAATGCCTATTTTGAGTGGAAGCAGAAACACTCCGTATTAGAGCATGTCTCTTTAAATGCAAATGAGCTGCTGCTTCCCGCCCCCTTTTCCAGAATAGAGCTGCACCATTACAGCTCGGGCCTGCTAAAAAACATCTATTTTGGTTCTGATTATCATGTTTATCTCGCTGAAATCATGAGTTTTAAACCATATGAGTTTAAACTTGTATTATACGGTTTTCTGAGTGCACGGACAGAAAGCAGCTATCACAGCATGTGAGTACTAAACTAAGTTCTCATTCACACACAAGTTTACGTTAAAAACACGCGTAAGCTACAAAAACAGTCGGTTATGTCTGTGAAGCAGCCCACAGTCTCCTCAGAAGTCTCTTGAAGTAAATCCTCACCATGCCCAGACACAAATGACTGGAACGGACTGATGAGAACCACAGGCGGTAAACGATTGCATGGGTTTTCCTTTGTGCCTGCTGTAGGGAGGGATCAATGTGTGGCAGTATGCCAGACACTCTTAAACTGGCACAGTGATCTCAGGGGGAATACCCACATACACACAAACACACACACTCCTGCCCCACGGCACCAGGAACAGATGCCACAGCCAGCGCAGTGAACCCATTGCTGATAATGAAGCAAGAAATAATCCCACTCACACACACATACCATCTCAGCCACGCACAATAGCGTCTCTCTCTTGCACAACAACAATAGCCTCACACACATAGATCTGTCTCCTGCCTTACACTACGCAGACACCAATGCACAATTTTCCCATGCAACAGTAATTGCGCATTCATCAGGACAAAAACACACACTCTGCGTCCATCTATAAAGTTATTGTGCTTTCATTTTGTACACTTCATCTCCTTGTAAGGGAATCAAGCAGTAGCAGAATTCTGGCTCCTTGCCCTTACAACACACACACATAGCATGGGTGTTTTAATGTGTGAAAAGAACATTGTGTGTGTGTGTGTGTGACCTCACTGCCATTAGAATCTTTAGAGATTCAGTGTAATTATAGTACATTTTACAAACCGTAATAAAAACAAAATGAATCTTGGTCGGATGATAGCTCACATGTATGATAGAAATATGTAATTTTATTTGACTATATATAATTTAATTTAAAAAATTTTAAGGTATTTAAAAAAAAAGTAAATGCAGTCGCTGAAATATTAAGAAATATATTTTTTTAAATTAAGAAATATATTGAAGGAATATAAATATATGTAGATCTATAGATATGTATGTTATTATTAATTCAATCACAATTATCACAATTCACATTATTTTAAATAAATGTAATATATATATATATATATATATATATAGACTATATGAAATATTTGATACTAAATGAAATTAATTTGCAACTGTAGGGCCTTTTAATACAAACTAGTTGTATGCAAAAATGTGATTAAATGTTAAGAAAATACAAATGGTGACTATATGGACCTAATGTACACTCTTTGCCTAGTGCATTCCTCATATAGACAAAATATACATTTAATATTTGATCATTAGTATAACTTCTCATAACGAAAACGGGATACTGTGTGTATTCTTAGGTGCTTAAAAAAATAGTTGTTTGCTCTTAACACTTGAGAGATCATAGGTGTAGTTCATCGGTGTTGGCACGGTGCCATGTCTGGCTGCCTCCGGAGGCTGGTGGCGCGTAACTCCGAGCAGTGTGAATATGTTCAAAATATAGTAACTTTTGCTTACCTTTAACTGTAATGAGGACCAAGTCAATATGTGTTGTTTTATTTAATCAGATGTGTTCGTTATGGACGCGCTCTCGTTTTCTCCTCTGGGTTCCGCTGCTGTAGTCCCGCTCTGTTCATCAATAACTACTTATCCAAGATCCATCAGCGCGAGCCTTTCTGACTTGCAATAATCGATAAGATTCTACTGGAAAAAATCGAATCCTAAACCAAGCAGTCAATCAGCGCGCGAACAAAGCCGCTGTGATGTGACGGAATCTCCGTTGCGTGTCCGCGCAGGTCGCTTTGCTTTGTGCCACAGTGACCTCACCGGCAGACGGTGCGACGTTGCAGCGTTTGCTTTGAACTGGGCTTGTTAACGTCAGAGGACACCAACAGCGGCGCCACATTCCTCGGAATAAACAGAAGCAGCTTTTTGCTCGGGATCAGATGCGTCCCGTCCCAGCAGCAATGCTTCCCTGGTGCCTTGTGTGTCTGGTTTTGGTCAGAGGAGCTGCGTTTAGCGCGCAGCAGAAGTGGAGCGGGCGGGCACGGGGCCAATCATCTGTTAGACATTTCCCTTTTCAGGAGCGGCGGTCCGTATTTTCCAGCCGCGCTCCTGAGCGGATTTCTCCGGTGTTCTCTATAGAAGAGGTGGAGAGAGCGCCAAGTTGTGCCGATTTTTTGGTCCCTCCATCACTTTCTGTACTCTCACGCGCACAAACGTGTACACACACCTATTGTACACCTTTTTCTTAATTTACACATTCGTTTTTTTCGGTTTTGATTTTTAGATTGTATTTTGCCCAGTCACTTTTTTAACAGCTAAAGATCATACGTCTGTTTTTAAGGACATTTTCAGAAACATTATCTGATAATCAAACCACACTAATCTTACCCTTTAGGCCTATAGACCAACTAGTTTTTTGTTGTTGTTGTCATTTTATATATTTTATTTAAAAATATAAATATCTAAAGACCCGACTGACTGTGCTGGATATACACCTATAGCTCTACTTAATACTGATTGTAAATTGCTTACTTCAATTTTAGCAAAAAGAGTAAACACGGTAATTACATCTCTGATACACAATGACCAAACTGACTTCATAACTGGAAGGCATCTGCAAGATAATATTCGTAGGTTACTTAAAGGGTAAGTTCACCCAAAAATGAAAATTAGCTTGTGTTTTACTTACCCTCGAAGCATCCTAGGTGTATATGACTTTCTTCTTACAGACGAATCCAGTCAGAGTTATATTAAAAATGGTCTTTGATCTTTCAAGCTGTTTAGTGGCACTCGGCGGGTGTTGCAGTTGAACAGTCCACAAGTCGTCAAATAAAGCTCGCGCATTCATAATAAAACGTGCCGCAGACGGCTCCGGGGGATGAATAAAGGCCCCCTGTAGCGAATCCATGAGTTTTTGTAAGAAAAATATCCATATTTCAAACGTAATAAACACAAAATACGGATTTGGTCCTAAGTTTATTCACTGGATAAAGCTGCTGTACTCTGCTCCTCAAGGTATTGTTAGGGTTAATGGTTGTTTGTCTCAACCCTTTACACTTGAACAGGGAACGAGACAGGGATGCCCACTGTCTCCTCTTCTTTTTGCCCTTTGTCAGCCATTAGCTGAGATATAGGAGCAACCCGGACATTCAGGGTATAAGAATAGGAAGAGAGATACATAAAGTGTCATTATATGCAGATGACGTAATTGTATATATTTCTGATCCATTACACTCTGTCCCCACACTAATGGAATGTATTAACCAATTTGGTAAACATTCAGGTTATAAAATCAATGTTGGGAAAACTGAAGCTCTAGCTATGAATACTCTTATTACAACACAGATAAAGTCCTCCTTTTCTTTCAGATGGCCCAAAGAGGGGATTATGTATCTAGGTGTGGTTATACCTTCTGATCTGAATAAATTATATGACAGTAATTACGCAAAGTTATTAGAAAAAAATTTATTCAGATTTAAGGAGATGGAATATACTACCCTTTTCTTTAACTGGGAGAATAGAAGCTGTTAGAATGAATGCATTACCACGGCTCTTATTCCTTTTCCAGACCCTTCCATTGTCCCCTCCGGTATCCATGTTCTCTCGCCTAGATAAGCTGATTTCTAGATTCATCTGGCAAGGGAGGCGTCCCAGAGTCAGGTACAAAACATTGCAGTTATGTAAATCTCAAGGAGGCTGGGCGTTGCCGAACTTTAAGAACTACTGGATAGCATCACAGTTGCGAGCCATGGTTGTTTGGTTGTCCGACACTGTGGAGACTAGGTGGTTAGAAATTGAAAAATGTAATTCCAATCCTCACTCACTAGCAGCTTTTCCATTTAATGAAGAAAAGAAGATAAGTATGTATAAACTGGGAAAATGGTCAGAGGTTACCTGTTTGGTATGGAGAGAGGTCCAAAAGATTTATAATCTTCCTAAGGGGCTTTCTTTGTTAACAAATATAACACAGATAAAGAAATGTACTCCCTTGGAAATGGATTCTGGCTTCAAAGTATGGGCCCTAAAGCAATTGCAATATGTCCACCAATTATTTGAAGGGGACTCACTTAAAACGTTTGAACAACTTGCTTCTGAATTCGGCTGGGGCTGATTTTTATAAGTATCTCCAGATTCTAAGTTTCCTTTTTAAACATCCAAATTGGAAAATGTTAAAAACTACCCCATCAGCAATTGAGACTTTGTTGAATAATGTGCAGAATGGTAACAAGATCCTTAGACCAATTAGCTGTATATACAGGGCTCTGGAAGACATGAAGAAAGACAACACATATTATATAAAGTTAAAATGGGAGAAGGAGCTCAAGGTAGTGATATCTGACGAGAATTGAGCTGAAATACATGTAGAAACACATAGAATCTGGAGAGAATACCATTGGAAGGTGACTAATCGTTATTTTCGAATGCCCCAAATCGTAGCCAAATTTAATTCAAGTAAATCCAGTGCCTGCTGGAGGGAGTGTGGAGAACAAGTAACAACGCGCATACACATCTTTTGGGAAGGCCTTATTCTAGTCCCTTACTGGACAAATGTATTTGGTTTCATTAATAAACATTTTCAAGTTAATTTACCCAGAGACCCTTTAGTGGCTATCTTGGGAGTTAAGACAGATTTAATAAAAAGTGAGAAGACAAGGTACCTCCTACAAATTCTCCTAGTTGCAGCAAAGAAGAATATTACAATGAAATGGCTTCAGAGAAGGCCACCTACTCTTGATGAACGCTTATACGGCCAGTGAGAGAAATCTGAGATGGAAAAAATAACGTACAGTTTACGACTCAGAATGAGTCTGTTTTTCTATTTTTTCCATTTGAATGGATTGGCTGTTTAACTCTTTGTCGTTATTGAACATTTTGATCCCATCCTAGGCTGTTGTTATGTGTTTATTGGTTTTGATAGTTTCGTTATAGTGGTGTATTATTATTCCAAATTTGTTTTTTACATTTTTTTCTATTCTTGTCTTTGCTCTGTATTCTTCTTGTCATTCTGTAAAATTTAGTTATGTTAGTTAATAAAAAATAAGTGTAATATATATATATATATATATATATATATATATATATATATCAAATAAATGATAAAATATAAGGTCATTTTAATATTTTAAAATATTTAAAATAATTTTTTTATTACTGCATAATTTTTAAACTTCCATTTGCTATTTCAGTTTAATTTTATTTATTTATATAACTTGGAGTTTGAGTTTGCCAACTTGAGCAATATTTTTATTTATTTGTTTTATTATTATTATTTAATAATTACAGATGACAATCAATACAACTATTTTGAAAAGTTTGAAAATGTATATTTTAATTTTCTCACAGGTGTTCCTGTGGCTCAGTGGTAGAGCATTGCGTTAGCAGCACAAAAGGTCGTGGGTTCAATTCCCAGGGAACACACATACTGGTAAAAAATGTATAGCCTGAATGCACTGTAAGTCGCTTTGGATAAAAGTGTCTGCTAAATGCATAAAATTACATTTTAATAGCTTTTTGTAATTTACTTTGTGTGAATTTTTAGATTACGGCCCATGTATAATTTTCTTTTTCTTTTCTTTTTTAATACAAATGACCATCATCACATATCTGAGGACATTTTTAGAAATGTGGCCCTCACAAGAACAAGTGCGCGCACACATACACACACACACACTCACACAAAGGTTTTTTCTTGCTCAGTTTCCCTCTAACTGACTCCAGGTTCCAAAAAACACACCCTGTTTCTGGTTAGAAGCAGACATCCACTCCTGTGCCAGAGTCCGTAATTTATTTTCTTGTGTGAAAAGCAGCCCTGTGTTGAATTACTTTTCCAGGTGACTGGGGGCTTCAGAGAGAAACAGCATCTTTTAAATAAATGGAAACCATGTATTGTGGTTTACTGTACCAGCACTTCTCTCTCCCTCTCTCTCTCACTCCTTTAGTCCATTAAAGGTAAATCATTTGTAATAAGCAACACCGTCCATATTGGAAAAATAAAATAAAATCTTGGATGTTTCTAGTCTTCAACATTACATTGAACAGGCGATAACTAATATATTTTATTTTCTGATTTACCCATGATACACTTATATTACATATTGTTTTAGTTTTTTGTGGGTATGCCGCCATTTTTTGTTAAAATCTACGTTTGTACATTTTACAAATAATTAGTCAAACTTCAAACATGCCGTTTAGGAAAACTTAAAATGACCATCAACAATAGCCATCTGTTGGCTACAATTCAGTACAAGTGTTTAGGTGAGTATTTATTCCAGCTCTTATTTCAGCAGTAGAGGACGTCTAATAATAATCTTCAGATACATACCCTCGTTTTGATGTCTATTCATCCTCTAGAGCTCTTGATCTGACAGCATGCTTTGTTTGCTGCTACATCATTATAGTAAGGGCACAGAGTTCAAGTCTGCCTCTCTCTTTATTCACTCCAGCCAAGCAGCGAGGAATAAATATTGACTTGCATGGAGCTGCTGTCCATGTTTAAGCACTTTGAAGAGAGCTCTTTTCCTCAGGATAAAACTGAAAGTTTAATCGGCCCTTCAAAATACACTCCCCCCACACAGACACACACTTCAGGTAGTGACATCTACATATTTATGAGTATCCAAAGTGCATATGAAAGAAGTATGTGAAAGATTGGTATGATAGTAAACAGGGGCGTCATGTATGGAGACAGATCAGCCTCAAAAATAACACATTTGCAAAACAAAATTCATAAATGCACAGCACAATTTACATTTACAAAATCAGATTCGTAAATTCAAAGCACAATTCATAAATACACAAGTAAAAGCATAAATATTTGAGACACTCAGGGTCGTGCGTTGTATGGGACGGGAGTGTTCGCGCTTTCCAATAACCAAATTAAAAGTCTTGGCGTGTAGATGCTAGTATCCTATTAGCAATTAGCTTAGCAGTAGTTTAGTAGCCTAGCATAGCTCCAGTTAGGCCCTGAGTCCATTGAATCATTTTATTCTCCCGTATCCCGCACACACAAATTTCCGAAGGGAGATTTCAAACACA